GTCTCACTAAAGCCACTCGTCTATCCCTAAACGGGATGCTACTTTCAATAAATCAAATGAACCCCAGAGCACATCCAGTTAGAGCAGGGCCAGTCTGAAAAGTCTGCAGGAGCAGCAGCTGCAGGAGCAGCAGCTGCAGGAGCAGCAGCTGCAGGAGCAGCAGCTGCAGGAGCAGCAGCTGCAGGAGCAGCAGCTGCAGCAGCAGCTGCAGGAGCAGCAGCAGCTGCAGGAGCAGCAGCTGCAGGAGCAGCAGCTGCAGGAGCAGCAGCAGCTGCAGCAGCAGCTCGTCAGTCAGTGAGTAAACTACAGAGTTAATGAGGTGAAGTTTCTGGGAGTCATTAATGAAAAACTGACATGGAGACCTCATATAAATTACTTAAGAACAAAAATGGCAAAAATCTATTGCAGTTCTGTATGAAGTTATGGAGTTATTTAATGATAAAGCACTATTTACACTATACTACAGTATAACGCAATAATTGTTCCACATTTGATTTATTGTATAGAAGTCTGGGGAAATGCATGTAAAACCATTACTAATCCTATTTTTATTTTACAAAAAAAGAGCCATAATAATTATCACAAGAAAGCATTAATATCACCCTTCTAATATATTGTTTCACCAATTAAAATAGTTAAAATTTCATGATTTGGTTGATTATAACACTCTGCAGGTTATGTATAAGGCTCATAGAAATGTGTTGCCGTCAAACATCCAATCACATTTTGTTAAGAGGGAAAGCTGCTATAATCTGAAGGGATTACAAATGTTTGTTAAACCAAACATCAGAACAAACTTGAAGGACAGATGAACTTCAGTAAAAGGTATAAGATTATGGAATAATCTGGGAAATGACTATAAAAGCGTTGGATCAGTTAATTCCTTCAAGAAAACAATCAAAAGAAAAATTGTTAAAGAAATATGAAATTGTTTAATTTGTATTAATTACTGTTTGAGGAATTAAAATTTTTGTTTTGTTTTATTATTCCGTTTATTGTTTGAAAAAAATTTTTTTTAAAAAAAGGAGCAGATATAATATTTTTTTTTCTTCTGCTGCCTTTCATTTTATTTGATTTGCGTTGTTTTCTTGTATGAAATGTTTTGTTTTTAAAAAGCTCTCCTCCTGCAGTTCACTCTGGAGCTTCCAGATACTTTGCTCTAAAACTTAACTTGATATTAAATATTTGTGTTCTGAGCGTTGTTATCCACCATGTGTCCAACTTTGTGTGTGACGAAGGTCCTCGTGCAAACGCTGCGCGCGTTGTGTGACATTCAGTTTGATTGTCGAGCTTTTTGCTCTCCTACCTTACAACATGTCACAAGTTGTGAAGTGTTGTGTCATGTCGTTTTGGGACAACAACGTAAACACAAAGTATAAACAGCTCCATCACTTGTGAGGGTGTGCACGCCCTGCGTGAGCAGCACGGACCGCGGTGCGCATTCACTGTTTGACTTCTTCAAATGAAACAATATATTGACTAACAGACTTTGTTTGTTTGCTTATATTAAAACAAAGATGAATCTCAGTTTAACGTTTACCTCCTCATCATGGCCAGGACAACATCACCATGTTTCAAATGTAGTTTGTATTTTATACAACTTTTATTCTTCATAGTTTTATAGGAATAACAAGGTTTTTGATGCGCTAAACTTATCTGCTGTGGGATAAATGTAATTCAGTAAATGGTCAAATATGAAGAATAAATAAATAAATGATTACATGAGCAGAAACCATTTAAATATATTTAAAAAATGTTAATAAAAAAATAAATTAGTCTAATAAATTGTTTTCAGTTACTTTGTGCTGTACAAAAGGCAGAAATGTGCTATAATTTTTTAGACGTAAACGTCTGAGAAATGAGGTATGAGCAGTTTTACACAAACATCCTGCGTGTTTTGGAGGTTTTCCTGCTTTGACAGACCTGATTTAAAGGAATGAGTGATTGACAGGTTTCTGACACCTGATTTAAAGGAATGAGTGATTGACAGGTTTCTGACACCTGATTTAAAGGAATNTGATTGACAGGTTTCTGACACCTGATTTAAAGGAATGAGTGATTGACAGGTTTCTGACACCTGATTTAAAGGAATGAGTGATTGACAGGTTTCTGCAGAGCTGCTGAAGAGCAGGGAGATGGTTAAAACCTGCAGGATAATGGTCCTCAGGGACCAGGATTATAAAGCTTTGGTTTAAACTCAGCTTTATTTTGACAAACATCAGATATGGATCTGATTTAGTGCCAGATTCAAATTTTTAAAATATAGTTTTACAATCACTGTGTAATATTTAAGTTCTAACTCAGTAAATCCTTGTATCAGTACTGTATATTGGTGTGTACCCAAACTGAAGTTCTTGTACTCATTTTGAGAAAAACTTGAGAAACACTGGAGCATTACTTGTTGCTTATCTCAGATGTTTTTCTGATTGTGTTGTTTCACACACTGTGTGTGTCTGTGTGAGAGGAAGTGTTTCTCTCTTTTCTACTTCTCTCCAGCTGTCTGTCTGTTTTTGTTTGCCATCTCCCCACAGCACGCTCTCTGTCTGACAGTAATATTAAATGCTATCAGCTGATGAACGCTGTTTTGTACAGAGAAAAAGTTTTTACCACTTTTCCTAAAACTGAAGTGTAATTTGCTTGATTTTATGCAGATTATTTAATTTGAGGATTTGTTATGTTATCAATAATCTATTGGGAATGAAACATTGGTTTGTGAAATTTTATTGTCATTGCATTTTGATCATGTTCTGAAAAAAAATCCAAATTCTTCTTGAAATACATCTGGAACTTTTATGTGTGAGAGGTCTGAGTCAAGACAAAGTCACAGTTACATCTTCAAGTGAGATAAAGTTTATTATGTTTGAGAGATGGGCTGTTAACTAACTGTCCATGGGTCAGTGCTGGGAGTCCACCGCCCCCCTAAAGGCTGCTGCTCCAGTTTGTGTTGGTAGTAAAAGGATTGTAGCGGTAGTAAAAGTATTGTAGCGGTAGTAAAAGTATTGTAGCGGTAGTAAAAGTATTGTAGAGGTAGTAAAAGTATTGTAGCGGTAGTAAAAGTATTGTAGAGGTAGTAAAAGTATTGTAGCGGTAGTAAAAGTATTGTAGCGGTAGTAAAAGTATTGTAGAGGTAGTAAAAGTATTGTAGAGGTAGTAAAAGTATTGTAGAGGTAGTAAAAGTATTGTAGA